GTAAAGTGGCTTCGACTACAGAGGTGGATCACAATTTACCTCAACGTGAAAATCAAGGAAATGGTACACCGACCTCGCAAGCTAATTTTATAACGGTCAACTCGATTGGTTCTCCGACAACTCAGCCTAATACTTCTACACAACCTAATGTGGCAAAGGATAATCACAATAATCCTGTGCATCCTGTAATGTCAATGCAATCCGAACATCCCAACTCACAATTAACAGTTCCGCAATATCAGACTCTAACTCCGTACCAAGCGAAAGCTCCCAATATGAAATCAAAATCAGTTAATTCGAATTCTCGAGGTGTTATAATTCGAGAGTTAAACGTGGAAGCACTGAAAGTGAAAATTGATAAAGCTTCATCATCCAAAACCAATAATAATGATGATAAGCATCAGGAACCTGTCATCATTTCTGATGATGATATGGAACCACAAAATCACATGATGCGACAATATGGGGAACGAAAAGTTTTAGAAGCGAATAATATTGTATCTACTCCAGTTTCATCTAAGCCAGCAATTATGAATACTCCAAACAACAAAGGGAAACAAATTGTTTCAAATAAAAACACTTCTTATAATGCTGGACATAATACAAGTAATTCTGTAAGAGATATCGAGGAATTTGTGCGATTATTTGATGAAATACAAAGGAGCGATGAAGATTTTGGATTAAGGCAGATTGCTATAACTAGATTATACCATAAATTAACTTCATTAGGTTTTAATATTGAAGGTCATATAACTAACTTGGCAGCAAGAGGTAAATTAGATCATGAACTTTTGAGATCGTTTAGAAACTCATGAGGGTGTATCTGTTAAACTAGTTTATTTGAAAACTTTTGAATATTTATATATTAACGAGATAAGATAATTTGTTAAGAATGGTCTTGATGTAATTCAATCTTATCAGAGATACTTTGTAGATTTTTTTTTAAAAAAAATATTATGATTTGCGGCGGAGGGGAATAATCTTAATAATAAATAAATAAAAAAATCAAAAAATGCATTCTTTTCATTTAATTGTATGCATATATGTACTGTATGTATGTATTTATATATATTTGTTTTGAAATTATAGCATAACAGATAAATTAAATAAATCATTAATTAAAATAACTAGTGTAACTAGTGAAAGGTATTTTACATCATTTTTATTATTCTGATTTTAAATAACGATAAATATCTATAATAGTTATATTTATGTGTATTTTACGAAAAATTTTTTTTCACCGCAGACATGACGCAACAGATTCCCGATGTATATTTTTGTTTTTTACACTAAATTTCATATTGGTTAAAAAGAAAAGTCATGATAGGAAAATCACTACCTATTTGGTCGGAGTAATTAGAAATTAGGTCGGTCCAGCTGACTGCTGAATCACGATCCGATCTAAATTTGTAAATAAAGTACATCTTTAAAAAAACAAATAAATAAATCAATCTGATCTGAATATCGTTTATCGTGTCACGTTAACCTGAGCTAACGTAATAAATATTAAAATCAAAAACAGTTGAATTTTTTTATAATAAATAGTTAATTATTTCCCCATAAATTTTACAAGTTCATAGTATCACACAATTTATTAATATGCTTGCGTACGTGATAATGTTGTAGAAAAGTTTATTAAAGTTATTTTTTGACATTAAAAAGATTTTTCATAATTTGCGTGATCAAATCACGGAAATCTGGAATAGCAATCCTTTGTTCTTTTATTTGTTTAAATGCATTATTATTAACAAAAAAAAGGATTATTGGAAACAGACTTTTTTTTTTATTCAAGAGATGCATTGCAATTGGTTTAGAAACCAACTGAGAACTTACCCAACATTATTTCTGTATCACATCATAACATCTTTCGAAGAAACTGCGCATATGATCACCAGTTACAAGCGAACTGCGTGAATATATCCAGAAGTGGTTGTCCTAGTAGGCGTGGTGACATATAAATAGTATTCGAATAGCACCTGTAGGACATCGTAAATACAAAGAGATCCTAGCATAGCATTTTGATTGAAAAGATCCTCATACTTTCCCGGTATGCTGATTCCGATACCTGCATCCATATTCTCACCATATAAATCGTAAATAAAGAAATCAAATAACGGCGTGATCACGCTCACATACATACATAGTTCCCTTTTTCAAGTGAGATTTGTTGTGATGGTTCACTGAAATCGCATTCCGCATAATGATTATCATCAAACTTTCCAGCTTTCAGGACATGTCAGAATTCAAAAGTTTAGCAGCAAAAAATGCTGCTATCCTTCACTGCTTTTCTAAGTCGCTGAGGATCCAATATTTTTTGTATTATTCCAGCATTAGGCTTTTGTAACCTGTAATCTGACAAAGAATCTTTTGTAATAATACCTTATCTGCTCCATGAATCCATTGGTTCAAGAAGTTTTGCGCTTTGTTTTTAATCACATCGCACCATCAGTAAAGTATCTACCTTGTACTGGCAAGACGAAACATCCAATCTTTTTGGCAAATTATCCCACAACAACAAGTGTGGTAGTCTTTCCCCAAGCCGGAAGGACCTCACTAAACTTTGGTGAAAAGAGGAAGAAGTTTTTGAGCTACAAGGACCATTTTTGATGAAGAAATTATTATTGAAAAATTACGTGTGATTTGGGGAATAATATTGTCTCTTCAAATTCTTTATCATTCCACTCTGATAAATGTTAGCATCAAGTTGCAAAAGTTCTTCCTCTATTGGGATATAAGAGGGTGCGATACCTAGAATTGAATTAGAAAAACAAGTACCATATCATAAGAAAAATATTCGTAATGCTTATATCGTAAAATCGGTACTTACCACGGAAGACTAACATCTGAAGAGGAGTTTGCCCTGTATTCCCGAAACTATCGACCACGGTGAAATGCGTCTCAGTAAAATTTTATCGACGTCAAAGTTGCCAATTCGATTGACTATTTCTTCTTTATCTCCTTCAAGTCTTCAACAATACCTCCATGTTTGATATAGACATTTTCTTTCATTTAAGTTTTTATCAATCAGTGATTCGATAAAACTACGGTAGTACTAAAATGTAAACATTCGTGGCTGATGTGGCTAAATATTATAGAGAATTAAGATAAAAAGTAATTTTGATAGTTCAAACTAGTGAAGACGAAATTTTACAAAAAATTATCTTTAAAACGGGAATTAAAAAAAAAATTCTTTATTTTAAATTACATTTTTGTTATCAATGATTACACATGTTACACAATGCATGCAATTGGATTTATTCAAATTAACCTTTAAGAGAAGATATTCTAAATAAAAAGTGTCATTTACAATAACCAATCTTCTTGATAAGTAAACCATAAGGTTTTAAATCATCATCACTTGGAGATACCCAATAATCACCATCACCATCACGTTTTCTAGATAACCGAACCAAAGTCTTTGGATTAACACGATTTTGTAACAAAATCAAATATTTTGAACCATTAAAAATAAAAGTATGAGAGTATAATGAAGCCAAATTTTTATCAGGGGTTGTGTAAATTCCATGACCAAAGGTAAATTTATGAAGTTTACTACGTTTACTATGAATCAATCCATCATCCGCGATCGTTCTTGATTTACGCGTTGACGTTCCATGATAAGAGTATGGCCATGTTTTGTATATCGAATGTTTTTCGGTTGATGAAGGGGTTAAAGGAATTCTTTTCCAATCACATCTTCCGGGGAGTTTTTTTTGTGATTTTTCATCCAAATGATGTATTACATTTAAGAAATCAGAATTTAAGAATTTGATAGAATCCAAAGAACCTCGGACTTCCAAATAGATCACGTTATCCTGACCAATATTATAGGCACCTAACCTCTTTGAGTTTAAAAGGTGTCGACCATTAAATATCAAACGCTGAGAAGTGGTATCGGGTATGAAACAAATTTCTTGAATTCGTTCCTTTAATTCTTGAACGGTGGTTTTACCGGTTAAATTTCCGACCAACCATTTAACCCCAGTTAAAGTTTCAATGTGAACATCAAACGGAACGTTTTTGTCAACATGATGATGATGGGATGATATTATACCACCACTCAAGTAAGCCTTGTAAAATATTTGGAAATCCAATTGTTCGTAAAGTCTTGTATCATTCTCATCTCTTGATAAATACTCATAATAAGTTATGACAGGTGAATTGGTGATAGATGTCAAAGCGGAAGCCACCACCGTTGCGGAATCGGATGGGAATGGTTTAGGTGTTCTTTCGTATTCCTTATATTGCGACCACTGCTCTATTTCGATGAAAACGTAGAGACCCAAAAAAGATGAACACAATGACATGCATAATAATAATAATATCCTACTTTCATTCATATTCTAAATATCCCCTTTATTTTTATTTTTTTATTTTTTTGTAAAAAAAAAAAATTGAACAAATATTTTGTGGTGGTCACTGTCAATTGAAGACAAAAAAACCCAATGCAAAAAAAAAAAAAACTTTATCGGTATTTATAATGAGGGAGGGGAGAACAAAATTGGCTAGTCATTTGGTAGCTTTTTACTCTAATTGGACTTTTGTGTAAAATTTAATCTCAATAATCGCGGAAATGATCTCTCGTGTAAATGATTGACGGTGGTGGAACCACTGTAGAACCAGAAAGAATGATATCACCAAAAATATTAAAAATTGCGAAATGAAGTGATTCATATGATACCATTTGAATTTAAAAGGGAGGATGATTTATCTATTTATTCTTAAAAAAAAAAAAAAAAAAAAACATGTCGCCAAAACATCAAATTTACTTGGATCGTGCAGAATTTGTTCGATCATTACTTAACGACACCACAACTGCAAACATCCTTTTGCGCGTCGATAACTTTCATATATACGCTCATACGACCATTCTCTATTGCGCTTCCGGATTCTTTAAGAAAATTTTCAAAATATTAGCTCATAAAGACGATGAGAGAAGAATTGAATACTTGTTTCATGATTACAGTTGCAATAAAGAGATTGCAATCACCAGATTGCATGAATATAAAGGACAGGAAAATGTTGAATTGCTATATGATAGAGTGGATTTTCAGAATTTTGTTGCTTTTATGTAACACACTCATATTTTTGTTTTTATTTTTATTTTTTTAATAATCAAACACATTTCTTTAAAAGAAGAAACTTTTTTTTTTTTTTTTTTTTTTTTTTTTTTTTGTACTTTTCAGATATGGATATCCGATTAAAACAAACGATCAAGATCAATTGTTTGTGCTCGCATACTTGGCCTGTAAACATAAATTTGATGTTCCAGAATTGGTCGATTTTTGTGATAATATTTTATATAAAATTGTGAGTATTGATAATTATGAAATTTCATTCTTTTGTTAAGTTGATAAGACTTGTTAAGATGTTCATTTTTCTATCCAAAGTGGAATGAACAACGTTGGCATGTTATCCTCAGAGTGAGCAAGTGGTTGGGTTTAAAGAAATTGCGTTGCCGAGTATTGCAATACGTTTACAACCGAGGCGAACTGATGTTTCAAGGTCATGCAAAGAAA